AAAAAAAAAAAAAAGAACAGGATTTAGAATAGTAATATCCTCAAATCTTTCAGAAGATACTATGCATACTTCTTTTCTAAAATAAAAAACCCATAAGTCATTTCCTTAACTTTTTTCTATCTTCTTTTTTACACTAGTCAGGAGGCGAAAGAAGTAGGAAGAGCGATTAGTGCAAATGACACAAAATTAAATTTATTTATTATTTTTGTTTATTTATTTTTATTTTTATATGCTTATTTTTTTCCTCCTCGATAAAGTTACTTTTTATTTAAATTATCTCAAAGGATCTTGAGTTTGTTTAACTTTTTATCTGCACTTTCTTCTTACTTTAACCCTATTTGCCGTCTTCGTCTCTGTTTCTTTTTCATTTGCCATTTTTTTTTGCTTATTCACTCCTTTCTTCTGCAGATTTTTCACCTAGATTTTCAAGTATGTTAAAATGTGAAATTTTTTTATCATGAGAATTCCTTTCGGAGAAGAGCGTAAAGAAAACGGTTCAAAGCTTTTTTTTTTTTTTTTGCAGAAAAAAGGTTAAGTTTGAGAGCGGTAACGCAGAATCCTAAATCAAAATAATCTTTTCAAATTTGTTGGTATTCAAATTTTAGATTTGTAACTTTTAAGCAAAAAAAATTATGTGTTTGTGGCAAGAAGAAAGGGCCAGAAATGCAGAAAAAAGTGAAAATTTTATAATAAAGAGGAAATAGAAAATAACATTGAGATTTTTTCCTTAAAAAAATATGCAAAATTGAAGATGCAAAAAAAAAACCCGGAAATTTTCCTTTCGGTTTTCTTCATACATTTTGAGACGGTATCGTCTTTTTTTGAACAGATTTAACTAACTAACTGACTTTGCAGTATCAATTATCAGGCAACCATTTTTTTGGTCAAAAAATATGCAACTTTACTTCTTAAAACTGCATTCAACCGTTGAAATTTGAAACAAAAGAAATTGAAACGATAACAAAAAATTATAGTCTTCATCATGTTCTCTGCTTTTGCTCCTTGTTAGCTTCGGCAATGATGTTAATATTGCTGCTGCAGTTGTTGATGGTATTTTTATGGCCGTTTTTTGAGATAATTTTGACATAAAAAGTTTGTTCGGTGAATAAAAAACATGGGGACCTAAGCTCAGCAAGTAGATAATGAAAAAAAAATAAATGATGTTTATTGATCTCTATACTTTCTTTCGCGTTTTTTCTGCTTATACTTTTCTTCACCTCTTCAAACGGCATGAAATGCAGGAGGAAAAAATCTGAGCTCTCAAATGTATATAAAACCGGTGATATTCAAGCAGATACGAAGGTATATAACAAAACCAAAAGGTGCTAAGGTTTGTTATTTATACTGGAGTTAAAAATACTTTTTTAGTTTTCCTGTTGAAAAAAATTTTCATATTTGTAGTTGTTTTGTGCAATTTACTACTGAAATTCTGAGGACACTGAGTGACGTTAAAGAACCAACGTAAGCTTCTAACAAATGTCAAAAAAAGAAAAAGTAATATATTTTAGGAAATACTAGAAATTTTTTAATTAAGATAAAGTCAGTTTAAAGTGTTTGGCATCTATCTCATGTAGTTATAATTCTGAAATAAATTATTTATTGTTACAACACAAAAAATAATTACTAAGACCAAAAAACAGTAGGAAAAAGGGAGTGATGACAGTGATGATGGTACTGATATATTGATATTGTAAGACCTGTAAAATTAAGAAAAAGTTTACTGCAGCAACGAAGAACTTTCCTCAGTTTTACACGTCTTACAATAAGCAGAAAAAAATGACTATTATGGTTAAAATATCTGAATAATTTGCATATATATTACCGCATTGGAAGAAAACAAACACTCAACTCGCTGCCGGACAAACTAACCAGCTTAAGAATTCAAAAAACTTTCTAATGATGATACGATCCAATTTCTTTCAATGACTAGTACAGGACACAAGAAATTATTGTAGGTTCAAATGAATCTATATGAAAATCTCGTTTTTGTTTGAAGAAAATATACTCAGAAACAATCAATAAAACTTTCAGACATTTACAAAATGAACGTCAATTGCATTAGAGAAAAAAAAAATCCACTCAAATATAATGTAATAATTAAATGCTAACAAAACAAGAAATAGTAGGAAATAGGTCAAACAGACTTGTTTTTTCTTCATTTGCTAAACAGTTAACGAATGAAGCAGTTTAGACAGATAACGGGAAGAGGGAGGTGTTTGCAGCCATGCGGAACAGAAATAAGATGAAGAAGGCTGATGGATTTGATACAGCAAATTTTCAATCAGAGCCTTCTTACAACATTTCGTTCTTCCCCAATACAATAGAGTATTATTGTCCAAAGAGATTCAACAAAAGAATAGAAAAAAAAAAAACAAGACAGGAAATTTTTCTTTGAACAGATAAAAACACCAAAAATTTTGGTTTTTCCTTCCCTTCCTACTTTACTTATTTTTCAAAATTTTTAACAAAGTTTTATTGATCAGTTTAAATCTCGAAGCCTAATAATATAATGTTATAAAAAAATTTTTTAATTCTATTTTGGCGACGTTTATCGTCGGAAACGCAAGGTGGGAAAAAAAAGTGGAGAGATTTGTTTCAAAAGATAACTGATTTTGAACAAAAAAAAAAAACACTTTCTTTACATTTAACACATTCTTTTTTAATCTAATTTAACACTTTTCACCTTGTTGACAATCAAAATTTTTTTAGTTCTTTTCTTTGGTGAGGGAGGGGGGAGAAGGTATGGGATGTTTATCTGCAGATTAGCAGTAACTGGCGGTAAATCGTCGTCATCATGCAAAATCACCATAAAGAGCAAAATATGAAGATTCAGTGACCATTGCTGAGAACGGTGACAAATGAAGTTTCGACAAATTAGATGATTAGGTAAACAGATAAATTTTTTTAAACAACTTACGTAGACGACTGCCGTCGTTTTTTATGCTCCAAAAATCGTCGATGATGCTCCGCAGCATCGTTGGTATCCGATGAAACACAGGAACCCATTGTGTTTATCAGAAGCCTCTATGTTGAAGCCTAATAATATTGGCAGACCATCATAAGATTTGGCTGATTAAATATACAAGTAGAACAGAAAAAAAAATAAATTAAAAAAATTTGAAAAAAAAAGAAAGAATTTTGTAGTTCCTTTTCTTTTCTTCTTCTATTCTGACGAGAAAAAAAAAACTTGTTGCTTCAAATAAATCTCTGATGGTTCTGAAGAAGCAGAGTTAAGGACGTTAAATTTCAGTCAGTGATTAACAATTTAGGGGGGCCATCAAAGCACTTGACAAAACTCAATTGTCGTTAAATAAACTCTATTTGCCTCCGTTATGATTGGCCGTTTATGTGAGTTTTTTGTTGGCCAACACTTCTAAGAGGGTTAATAAATCCTATAACAATTCTATCCATGGCCATTATTGAGTATTTTTAAGTAATCAAAAAAAAAAAGTTTCTTATGCTACAAGAACAAAAGCTACGAATAAAAAAGCAAAACAAAAAGAAAAAAAAAAAACAAGGAACACAAGTGCGAGGGAGAAGAG